TAATAATAATAATAATAATAATAATAATAATAATAATAATAATAATAATAATAATAATAATAATAATAATAATAATAATAATTCCTTTCGTTTATCGAAATAATTTCTGTGCAGTAATGTTTTATTTATTGTAAAACAAGGTAAAATTCTGTTTGTCAATAACCATTGCATTAACTCAATAAATAATATAACCACTCCAAAAAAATAGCGTAACTAACAAGCGAAAATAAGACTGATGTGATCGTGGAAATAGTGGACTTTCGTATAAATTCTCATTTACAACTGATTAAAATACATAATAATCAAATCTAAATAAATCCCTTTTAGAAGGCGTAAAGGCTTTTGCGGGAAAAGGGCTGCATTAAGCCCACTTTCAGGACAGCTGTGCACCAACAGGACATCTATCAGTCCGCACAATAAAAAAAAAAGTCCACAGTGAGTCACGGAGAGCTCTGTGCGTCTGCAGGAGCCCAGACAGACCCGTTAGCCGCGTCTCTCCTTCCATTTGGACTTCCTAACAACATCCCTTAAAGGCAGAACCGATGACAGAAAGCTGCATCTCAGAAAACACACTCACACACACACACACACACACACACACACACACACACACACACACACATAGATGCAAGTGATATGCACTCAGGCAGTTATGTTTTATCGTTAAGAATTCTAAAAATGTCTACACTAACTTATGCATCCATCTCGGAATTTTTTCTTATCCTTTTTCTTTTTTTTCTTTTTTTTTCTTTCTTTTGCAGCAGCATCTCTCCGTGCAATAAGCAACCAGGGGACACCAGAACTGAAATCAGCCTCCACCAAACAACCTGCAGATCCCTTCAGCCTGGCATGAAATTCAATACTTCTCCTTTTCCCGTGAATTTAGGAAATAGCAGCCTAGACCCCCCACCCCCATCCCACCCCCCACCCTCTCCTTTCGCATTGCCCGGAATCGCCATCAGATGATTTCTCCAAGTTATCTCATAAACGTTTTAATAGTGTGAGGGTTATATATGGAAATAAAAAGCTTCCTACCTGTTCAAAATAGCCGGTGCGTGTTGTTGGCACGCCACACAGGAGCCCATTGTAGAAGCTCGCCTTCTGCCTTCTGCAAAGGGCTCCAGACATCACGGCATTTATTTGAGCTCAAACTCTGTCACTGTTGACTTTAGCACAAAGCAAAGATTTCACTGCCCCGCTAGTTAAAAAAATGATTATTTTACAGAGATATCGATCAGTGTGCTATAAAAAAAAAAAAAAGAAAATCAGCTTAGCATTATATGTCTAAAATGGATAGAACGAAGTTTAATGTCTGTGTAAATTTGCAGAGCTGCGGCGTCCTATTCCGAGTTTACACTTGTGCAATTTGGTTTGTGTGTGTACTCTTCCTATATGTGGGCATAGCCTCCACTCTATTGTTTACTGGCTTTGTTTATTCGCAGATCACACTGTTTAAAGTGCGATCTGTAAAGAGGGTCTGGAGAATAAACGCACACTTTAGGCCCTACGTGTTCAGAAGTTCGAAGGGGGTGTCATTTGATTCTAAAGGCAGCACCGCTGTCCCAAACTGTCCCCCGGCCTTGGATTTGAGCTCGGCGGGGATAAACCGACCGAGAGGGGAGTTGGGATTCGTGTAGACAACAACTACCCTATCTTATCTAACAAGAGGGGAGGGCCGGACTACTTTAAAAAATAGGGAGTAGACAATGGAGCCCCAGATTGTGGCTAGAGAAGTTAGAGCATCACATTCAGGAGGCTCTGTTCCCGAAACAGCCCCCTTTCCCAGCAACTATTCTCCTGCGCCACAGGAGGCTGTTTTATGTGACAATACCACTTAATCTTATTCACTGATCTAAACTTTGCCGTGTTCGTCTGTGTGTGTGTGTTTGTGTGTTTGTGTGAGTGAGTGACAGAGGGAGAGATAGTGTTTGTATGTTACATGGATGACTGACAGGTGTGTGTGTGTGTGTGATTGGCAGATGACTTATATCTGGCACTGCATGTGTGGGAATTTGAATGGATGATTTGATTCGTATCACATGACAAACTCATCCAAATAAGATAGAAAGTTGTGCCTTTACGCATCTGTGTCATATTCCCTGCACAAGTTTTACCCTGATGGGTATTTTGAGATTTTTTGTTTGTTTTTTTAATGTTTTTTTTTAATCTATTTTCTCCTCTTTTAAGATCCTGTTGTTACTCTTTTTTAAATCGTTTTTAGGGGCATAATATTACAAAGAATAGGCTAAATGGTTGCATAAATCGTTTTTTTGCCTCCTCATCAATATCTCAATTTGTGTTTGGGATTAATGAGCATATATTTGTTTTGTTTGCATTTCTTTAGAGACAAATTGAAAGCATTGTTCTCGGTTTTATCCACCAAAGCTATTAATCCCCTGCTGAAAGTACAGGCCTTAATTCAACAGCACGTGGGTACGAATAAATTCCACAATGTAGAATAAAACTGATAAATGTAAAACCTTTTTTTTTCCTAATGGATCTCTTATGCATTATGCTGCTTTCCAAAAGTGGATCTCTAATTTAGTTTTTCTTTATACATGTGATAAAAAAATTTCAAGGTGTTTCTTATATATCAACTATATATACATTTTTGTTTTCTTTCGATTTGATGAGAAAGTGAGTTGAATACTTCCATCTGCTATATTCAGTCATGATGCGCACTATAATGAGACTAACATTTCTGTATACCTCATTTTCTGTTGAGGAGTAACGATGATGATAATAATAATAATAATCTGTAAACACACCATATTCAGAAAACAAAGCCAATAACACTTTAATATAGATTCTGTTCTTGTCACTACAAGAATACACATATACAAGCCATAAATAGGAATTACACAAATGATTGAACAAATCTTGTGAGGCGTTTGGCCTGAAGTTCATTTAAGGAATCCAGCTATACAGATGCAGGCTATATCTTACAGCAGTTTGTTTCGTGTCTTTGGGGTCCATTCTCGATGCCAAACACCTTTCGTCACATTATCAACATCACTTGAATTTTTTTTTTGTTGCAACTTCCTCTCTTAAAATAATTACGCTACCGACAAATTCAACAACTAAAACGATGGGGAAACGTCCAAAAAATATTTGAAATACATATTGTACACAAAGTCTATATTTTTTTGTTTTTGTTTTTTACAAATGTACAAATCGAATATGGAATAAAAGTCCATGTAAGAGTTTATGAGGAGTTCATGATGGGCCGGGAATAGACGCCTTGGTAGTAAGATGTGTCAGGTATAGGCGCGGGATCCAGACCGGCTTTTCCGGCCATGGAGCCCATGGACAGCGCCCCGGCCATCGGGGACCCGTATCCGGAGTAGTGCATGACCTGCTCGTAGGTTTTAAGGTCCATTTTGTGGTGCTGCTGCTCCGAGGACATGAGGTTGTTGATGGAGAACGGGTGGTTGAAGGAGTAGTGGTGCTCCGGCTTCAGGTGGGCTTCGTGCGCCAGCACCGAGTGGTGCTGCGCCATCAGGTGCTGGCCCTGCGACACCGGGGAGGCGGCGGCGTGCTCCGGGCTCAGGGCCTGGCTCGCCTTCATGTCCGACAGGGACCGTTTGTGCTCGCCGGAGGAGGAGTTGGAGTGCGGGGACTCGTTGCCGTTGCAGCTCTCGGAGCTGCTGTTGGAGGACCCTCCGTCCCCGGCCTTGCGGGAGCTATCCTTCATGGTCATCTTCTTTTCGCACTTGAAGCGTTTCTGCCTCCGCAGGTAGCAGCCGTTCTCGAACATGTTCCCGGAGTCCGGGTGCAGAGTCCAAAAGGAGCCCTTCCCCGGTTTGTCCGGCGACCGGGGCACTTTGAGGAAACAGTCATTGAAGGAGAGCGAGTGGCGGATGGAGTTCTGCCAGCGCTGCTGGTTCTGCCTGTAAAAGGGGAAGAGGTCCATTATCCACTGGTAGATCTCGGCCAGCGTCAGCATCTTGCTGGGAGACTGCTGGATGGCCATGGTGATGAGGGAGATGTAGGAGTAGGGGGGCTTGGCGTGCGTGTAGCTCCGGCGGTAGGTCTTGGGGTCCCGGGACCTGTTGATGTTGGACTGTCCGTAGATGGGGCTCATGGCGTTCATGTTGGTGTAGGAGGTGAGCGCGTTCATGGACGCGGGCTGCGCCGTCATGGGGCTCATGCTCGGGCTCAGCGCCGCGCTCATGGCCGTCATGCCGGCTGCGCCCATGCCGTTCATGGCCCCCGCGCCCGGCGACATGCCCGTCATGGAGGGGCTCATGCCCGTGTTCACGTAGGACATGTTCATGGAGTTGGCCGTCATGTTGGCCGTGGAGCTCATGCCGGACATGCTCATGTAGGTGTTCATAGAGTTCATTCCCAGGCCCGCGTTCATGTTGCCAACAGAGGTGTAACACTGTCCGTGAAGGGGGGGGGGGAGAAAAAAGGCATTTATGAGTTTGGCACGGTCAGTTATACAGTGAGGCATTAAACTAAGCTGGCATGATATATTTCATCATTTGAAAATCCATTCAATTAAATCGTAATTTTCCAAAGCCTTAAATAATTCAAACAGCTTCCATAGCTGTAACGCTTACTAAAGACTCTAATGATCCTTGGGGTGTTTGCGCGAGTTGAGTTTTATCTTTGAAATATATGCTTAGAATTGTAATGTCACTTTATGGTAAATAAAGGGAATTACATAAAATGACATAAAAGACACAATTTTCGCCCATAAAAAGACTAGGCTCAGGCAAACTGTGGCTGCAACACAAATATTTGAGCCAACCTTCCCTAAAGCAAACATCACAGGTGTTTATTGAGAGTAAACGCGACGAAAGGACCAAAGAAATAATAAAATAATCGGATTTAGTGAAGACACAAATAGACGTATGGAATTATAACCATAGCGAAAAGTTTCCCCCCACTACATGTCAGGCAACTTTGTGAGGATAGTGTGCTGCGTGGAGATGGGGGAGGATTTGGAGGCGCCTCAAGTCAATATTTGATCACAAAGTTAATATTATCTCAGGGCTAATATTGAGTTGTATAAAATGGGATCGGCTTTTACACGGGGAAAAAATATATATATTTAAGGTACCCACCTCAGGCTCTCCGTAGTAGGTGTTCCAGTCGGTGTGTTCGTGTCCTTCCATTTTAACTGCTCCAAGCATCATGGAGGACTTTCAACAAAGCGTCTCCCAGCAGAGGAAAAGCCAAAAGTCTCACTAATAGCAGGTGACTGGGGACCACTGAGAGTATTTTCTGGTCGTCGGGGTGTCCCTTCGTGGAGGGCTGGAGCATGCGTGTCTCCCGGAGCCCGCCGTGATGCGTCCGTCGGTGAGTGGAGTTCAAATGACGCCCCGTGCTGCCTGTTAACGCTGTGATATAGCTCTGTGCGCCAGGCAAGCCTCCAATCCCTACTTCTACGCCTTGGGCCCTATTTGAATAATCTCCTCGCACCTAGGCGTGAGACTCCTCAAGCTTCCCCCCCCCACACACACACACACCCCTCCATCTCCCACCCCACCCCAATTGTACACCTGCGCTGACTGAAAAGAACAGTTTCATATGAAAAGCTTCATTATAAACTAATCTTATTGTTAGAAGGGATAGGGGGAACTATAAAAGGAACGTTTGGCGCTCTTTCTCTGTCTGTCTGCCTTTCTTTTCTTTTTTTTTTATCACGCACATCCTCCAACGATCTCCCCACACTTCGGGCTGAGCTCAAATCATAATCCATTTTATTATGCTGAGTTCAAGGAAATTAGAGCCAAAACCTGAATGTGCTCAGAGATTATTTCCCCACAGCGACGACAGATGATTTGAGCACGTTTACGCGTCTGAAGAAGGTTTATCCACAGATAAAGATGTGCCCAAAAGACCGATTTTAGGCAGCTTATCCAACTTATTAACAGTTATAATAACCTTAGGATATCAGGAAATGAATATAAGCCAAGCAACTCGTGTTTATGGGATCTGTAGAATAAAATAACATTTTTTAAATTGCCATTGTTAATCAGGATGAGAAACACATTGTAACTAACACAGATATACGTGTGCCTTGCATAAAAAACACTGAAATTCATTCAGCATGAGTTAATTTACACTGGAAGTCAAGCAAGTAAATGTCATTTCTTTGTTCGAGCTGTTTACCAATTAGATTTGAAGTAAAAGCAGACCACACACACAATTAATTGTCCACTTTCTCTACAGTGACGAAGTCATTCTATATGCAGAAAATAACGTCTCTGCACACGATTTCGTTGAACTACTGTTTCTTAATAGTTTAATTAGCGTTAAATATCCCAGGCATGGCTTCACAGCGCCCTCTGTCGGTGGTTCCTGGGAAATGACGTGGCTGTCTGTGGCAAAACCAGCCCATTCTCTCAATTCAACATTTTCTAATCAATAGGCAACGATATGCAGCTATTTCCTTTGACAAAGGCAAGGTGAAAAATAAAGTAGATAATTACGAAGAAGAGTAAAAAAAACAAACAAATGTTTTTATCATTTTTTTATCGTTGTTGTTGCTGTTATTTTCATTAGGTTACAGAAAACCCTTAAAAACAAAAGTGCCTGAGATGGCTGGCAGACTGTTATCTTTATTTATTTATTTATTTATGCTTTTTTGTAGGGCTTTTTTTAAATCATGTAGGTTTACATAATGCGCTAATCTTCTGTGAGAAAGGCAGAGGCCCGGAGTGCTGAGGGCCCGTACAGTATTTGTGTGAAACAAACAGCCAGGTGAGGCTGCGGAGCGCCGTCGGCCACGTGTCGGCTGTTGTACATCTATTTGACTGCATATTTACGCAAGAGCATAACTATCAGTATAGAGCCCCATTAGTATAGGCGAGTAAACCTATCGTGTTGACGAGGGACTAACACAGTCTGCTTAACTTGGAAATGAGATCATGAGGGGGACAAAAAAAACTCTGTGTGTTTGAGGATTTGAGATGGTACCGACGGAGATCTGGACATGGTCAAATCTGCCTGTTTTTTTTACATGACTCAACCAGAGCTAGTTTAAAAATATATATTTATATATCCAGTCTATGTACTCTGTTATTCTTTGACCGTCGTTTTTTATGGGGTGCATGCAATTTCTCAGACATACATTTAGATGCGTTGGGAATGTAAATGTTTTCAGGGAGATCAGACTAAGCGCAATAGCAAATGTGTGGGCAATGCCTGTTTCCCCCCACATGAATATAAATCAGTTTCACGGCCACTCACACGTATTTTCTGATGGATAAATGCAGTCGGATAAATATAGGTCACATCTCTGTGTTCTTATCAAACCGACAGATACCAGATATCTGTACGTGTTACACAAACGGGTAGACAGAAATGTTTTCAAAGGGGAAAAAATTAAACAAACAAAAAAATCAACATTTTCTAACCGAGTGTGAAATCATGACCTCGTGTTGATCAAGTATGAGTGTTTCAACTCTAAAAGCACTGCATCAAAACAAAATTACTAACGTGTATGTCATCAGGATAAATAAAAAAAATCCATGACCTGCCTGACTTAATGTTCCTGAATGAGACAGGTCGCTGATTCCAAAGTTAATGATCAACCTGCCAGAGTCCCCTCATACAGGTGAAGGTCATTTTGGATTTAGCCAAAAACAAAAACCTCATTTGGGGCCCTCTGCAGCTGCTCTATCATCCTGTTTTGACTCTTTCCTTTTATTGAAACATCCATTCTGATAATTCAGTCGGTCCACACCAGCAACCAAAAGGAGGTACAGTATATTTATTAGGAGGCTCCAAAAAGTTTGCCAACATTTCCCCAGGACAGCAAAGGCACATCAGAAGGCACTTCTTTTTCCAGACTTTTTGTGTTTCATATAACTTGGCCAATAATTGTCTCAATTTTGTCTTTAAGGAAAATAACATGTTCAGAAACCAGACTTCATTGCTTTATCACTTGCTCTATAATCGGTAAGCATGTGGTTAAACAATGAAATATTGCAGTAAGTTCCACCTCTTACCAGAAATAAACATTTATCAAATTCAAACTGACACCAGATGGACTGAAACACAATTTTTATGGAAAAAAACTCAACTAAAACACAAATCATACCAGGAAGTCATTTTGTTTCCTTGTCCTTTATTGTTTTTCAACAACGGTTTTCTCATTTAAATTTCAAAAGACTCTTTAGTGACTTGTGAAGAAACGTTAGAATTATTTTACTATGATCACAGAGCAGCCCTCAGTTTGTTCTATTGTTTGTTCAACTAAGCAGAAAAATCTGTCTTTTCAATAGTTCATTCTAAATATTGATTGCAGTCCTGTGATTCCTCATCCCCGACAACGTTATTGCAACATCCCACATTTATTGTGCGTCATTCAGGTCCCAGATCAGGCACCAGCAGCCTTGAGCGTGTTCTATTCAAGAGGACAGAGTGCCTTTGACTCGTAGACAGCAGAATATGTCCTTCATTATGGCTGTTTTGATTTGTTCCCACTGAATTTGCATGTATTCACACCTTGTGTTTCCCTAGCTTCGCCACTTCTTGATCACTTAGCCTCCATTACGGTCCGCGTCACATTTCACACGTTCAGGTGTCATTACTTTACTAGTTATGACAAGGGAAAGCACTAAGTGGCGAAAGTTGAATGGCTCTGTTAAAGAAGTGAAAGCACAACACCTACATGAGTATGAGGGCCCTGAAGTGACGCTGGGCCATTTTCCTGGGTTCAGGCCCCGGGGATGGAAACATGGTGACCTCCACCCTGTGAGAGGAAGGCGGAACCCTTCGAACATTCCTTCAAACACCAAGGAGTTGTTGGCGGGAATGTGTTAACTTTCAGTTTCAGCTTTCAAAGTAAGGACTTTTTTTTTTCTTTTTTTCAACTGGAAACCAACAACGCACTTAGAACGTCCCCTTTCTGTGCCTTTGTATCCCCCTCTGAGCACACAGAGTCCCACAAGGCCAAAGGGTTAAGCATGTGATCCGTCAAAATAAAATTAATAAGGAGAGTCTTCCTCTTGGAAAAAAGGCTGGAAAAAGATGTTTGCTGCCAACCTGCCTGTGGTGACAGTAAACATTCCAGAGCCGAGCTGGAGTTTGGACTTGCCATTATCTGCCACAGCTGTGACAACGCCTGTTGGCTGCAGGTTTGTGGCTGGCCACACTGTGTTTACCTGGAAATGAATCTGAAAAGCGGCTGGACTGGGAAGGCACACAAGCCAGCTAAATAAAAACTGAGAGTGGTCACTGCAATGATAGGCAGTGGGAGGGAGTCCAAAGTTATTGCACTGGCCCCTGCGGGCTGGGGGGCAAACACAGGCGTAAAGGCACTAAGGACATCCTCAAATACGCACCTTTTTGATATTGAGAGGAATGCGGTGAGGAATGCCATTTGATATGTTTTCTGTTGACTGTATCCAGGGCATGGCCGACTCTGCTCTTGTCCCTTGTCATGTTAAGGGAGCCTATGTTGACCGCTGTCCTTCATCTATCAAACAAAGTGACAGTTTATCTATTAGACCACAGGAGTAGAGTAATAAAGGTGGGATGCTGAGAGATGCACCGGATAAATGACTAAAGAATGCTGGTGATTAGTATTTTAGAGCTGCGGTTACTGAAATATAACAGTTCTGACCTTTAAATTATTATTTCCAATAATAAAACACTATACTCAGTGATTACAACATGGAACAAATTACTGCTGGAAATAAATATTTTCCATTAGTTATATTAAAAGGTTATACTGAGTTTCCTACTACTGTTAAAAATAATATGAACCAAAATCAAAACACTAAGAATTAGAACTTCGCAGCTGGTGGCAGATATCCCAGTGAAATGCCCTCAAGCACATGACAAACAGCAGTTACTAAATTTCTGAAATAAAGAGGATACAAATATGATTATGCAAGCAACTGAGTTGCAAACAATGCATTTCATAGTTGCAACTTTTAAACATTTTTAAAGGACCCTGCAAAGACAAATGTGCCCAAAACTGTGCAAAAAAGTAGCTGGATGTTCCTAAAACCAAAGACAGGCTGAAGACAGAACTGGGGGGAATACTTTTTTGAAATCAACATTTTTTGACATATTATAGAGATCTTCATTTTGACGTAGACTGTCACAGAAGCCTGACCAAACTCTCTAAGAACCCAGGATGGGATGTGTATTGGAGCCCCAAGATTTAATATCGTCAAATCAGCACATTGTTATTCATTAGTGGACCAACTGCAGAGTCAATACACATTTAATCACAGACCGGAGGCAATTAAAACAGGAGGGAAGAGCAGTAGTGCTATGTTAATTAAAGTGCCAGGCTCCCATGGGAAGCTCTGTGGCTAAATATCACCACAATCAAGGCAACGCAATAACCCACCATGAGCTGCCGGTGTTCACGTGTAGCTGTCATGCTGTCACCTCCAGCCAGCCTGGACAAGAAGGTAAACCAGGTCCAGCAATTAAAAAGTTGTGAATAGGTAATGGTTTTTCTAATCTTAATCTTGTGGTGGCGACACAGACAACAGGTAGGATTTTTCTTCTCTCTGACGGTTACATTAATGACTTAACCGCGCTCGTCCTGTGTTGATTTAATTAATGGAATGAGATACGGGGAGAATCCCGATCACCGCCGCAGTCTGTCTTTACTGGACTGTCGCCATCTCGGATGAACATCTCGGGAGCTGGTACACATCTCTACACATCTGAGTAGGCCATTTCCTTTTTCCATCAATCACACAGTCGGCCGGTGAGTGAGGGTCACGTCTGCTGCCGTCTTATCTGTATTCCGGGCTGATGGGGAAATTCAACTTTGGGATTACCTCTGACTGCTGACCTGAACCCATCTCAGACAGCAGGCCGGCCGTCAGTTTCATTATCATCATGCTTCAAAGCACTGTAAAACAAAACCTCTCTCTCTCTCTCTCTTTTGAGCGGCGAATCACTGCAGGAATACTTAAATTCCCAGAGTCTTTTTTTGCATACAAGAAGATAAAAAAAAAAACATAAAGCAGGAGAGCCAGTATCTTCAACCTTTATCCTGCTTCCTGCATGGACCGAGAGCCCATCCATATGCAGATGGGTCATTTGTGGTGTTTACAGAAGAGAGGAGAGGGGGGTGGCGACTCATGATGACGGCTCAAAAGGGGCTGCCTGCGTGTCACCCCAGGAGCCTGGTGTTAAAGCCTGCCCTTCCAGATCAACAACATAAGTGTCCAATCTGTGTTTGCTTACCCGTGGACACGCCGATGGCTAAGTCCTGGCCTGGGGCCCATAAATTGTGCCTTTTTTTACAGGCCCCGACAGCTAACAGGCTATTGGGAACAGGGGCCCAATGACACAGGCTCTCAACAGATTAGCACCTCATCAGCCTCCTGCAGGCTCCAGCAAATATGCTCCCCGCCTCCTTCAGGATACAATAGGCCGGTTACTGCTAAACAGCCACCCTGCAAGAGAGCCCACACCCCTCTCAAGCCACAAAACTTCCTTGTCTGCTCTTTCTCTGGAGCCACAGCTGCAAAAGAGAGGCCTTCCCCATATCCAAGGCCCCCCCTTTACCCCAATTGGCAAGATGTGTGTATTTCAGGTGAGCAAATATTGCCACTTGCCTGAGAGTTCAATGACCATTCCTTTCAAGAGGGAGGAGGGGAGGTTGCGTATTGCGCCGGCCTGCTTTGTAACTGGGGGTACGAGCGGCCTCACACAGCAACCAGTCCACAGGATGGGTCAGGGGAATTCTCCAGGCACAGCTGGAGTCAGCAAATCAAACACACCTATATAGCTCATCTGCATTTTCCCAGACCGGGAAACCATTTCCAGCTTTCATTTCCCCTCTCGGCAGATTTTCCAACAAAAGATTGTCCCCCGCGAGCCACCACACACATTGCTCTGACCTTTTTATGTGACCTGGCCTCACTTGATCTTACTAGATGATTTTAAAAATGTCAAATTTTCTGTAAAAGGACGAAAAAAACTGCTGTGATTTGGGTAAATAGGAAAAGAATAACATGGCTGGTAATTGTAAACAGCTTGCCATGTTAGAAGCACCTTTGTCAGAAATACACTCAGGCTTGAGGAGTTAATGCTCCCTCCAGTTTGATGTTGTCGTCACTTTTCTCTTACTTTTTTATGTGTTAAACAGTGATGTTGGTTTGTTGGATATAGTTTCAAAATGTTTGCTCACGCCTGACAGCGAGAAAAAGGAGCTAAAGATTGCATACGATTATAATTTCTTTGTATGTTTTTCTCATTTTAAGAGTCAGTTTCACAGTTACATCTTAGATTACTTATTCCAGTCTACAATAACTCAAAATGTAGATTGATGATCCAAAATCTGTTGACCACAGACAAACGACCACATTTGTAGACGAAAAGCTGAGTGTCAAACGGCTCACAAACAAGTCACACAAACAAAAAGCAAGCTAAAGACGAAACGGGCCAGCTTGGCTAAAGGCTAAACGCTGGTGGTTGTGGTCAGTTGTGTATCGGCTCAGAGGAGGATGTGTTGTAGTCTTTCGTACCCTCGGGAAGTCAAACAGAAATGTGGGTCTAGCCTCGTCCTGCGAGGCCTTCTCTGCCATCACAGTGAAATGGAACTAGCACAGAGAACAAACAAGATCTCTTCCCATCTCCCCCCCCCACCCCCTCCAAGCCCAGACCAACCTTGTCTGGGTGATGGGTTTTTCTGTTGTTCTATTTGTTTGCTTGTTTGGTCTGGAGCCCATGGATACCCAGCAAGGAGCGGTGAGGAGAGGCCGAAGTGGGGAGAAGAGGCGGACAGGTGCGTGTGCAGGGGGTTGGGGGGGTGGGGGGTGTTGGGGGGGGTTGCATGACAGACAGGCGTCCCTTTGAGGTGACAAGATTCCTGTTGAGAAGCCACCAGGCAAAGCCGCTCAACAAATATACACACACCCAGCATGAGTGCAGCAAAGACGAGCTCTGGTTTTTTGGGAGGTTCCTTTTTTCCAATGTGCAGCCGGTGGCACACGGGAAGTGTGTTAGAATATTCCTTTGCTGCGTCAGAATGTTTTAAAGAGAGGCCGTGTTGACTTACAACACCCTGATAGTCTACTCAGGGTTGTTTCATGTATTAAAGACTCCTGATGTGCTACTCTGTAGGAGTAAGCATCCATCAGCTTTTCCTGAAATGATCCAGAGACCAACAGTGTCCTGACATTTTCTGCAGATCAGCCAACAAAGAGTGACACCTTCTGGTGACAAAGAGAACAGCTCTTGTGTTAAATAGAGGCTCGATTACAGTTTTTTTGGAGACAAACATGAAATATTAAATTATTTCAGACGTGAGTAGCTTGTATAACAGTTATTCTCCTCCTTGCTAACAAGCTTGTGTATCTTCTGCAATAGACTCTGTCATTATAAAGTTATAAACTTATAAAGTTATAAAGTCTGTTGTTTGTACTTAACAACTACAACAGCAGTAATCTTTAAATGTGGCTTGAAGACCTTTCCGCACAGGATGATCTTCCTATTGAGGTCTAGTTAATGCACTGAGAAGTGTGACTTGAGTCAAAATATCGTCCCATCAGTCTCTGAGGAAAAGCCCGAGTGACATCTACACCTCTGTGCAGCCAGAGGGGGGAGGCATTGCATCTGTTTCCTCTAATATTTTGACGTTTTACCATCTGTCTATTATGATGGAGGACAGCTCACTGCTCCTTGTTAGAAGACAACCCCGCTGGACACTGCTGCTCAGTGTATTAATGTTCCCCCACAGAGGTTAATGGGGGTCAACAGGCCTGCAGAGTAAGTCCACATCTTGAAATCATTTGAACAAGCTGATGGAAGACAGCTGTATCAAGTATCTCTGACAGAAAGAGGAGGAAAGAGGGACGAAGGAGAGCCATCATTTGATATCAAGGGAAGCAAACTTCAAACAGACTCTAAATGAATGGCAGCTGCCTGTTCGGTGTGGTATCTGATGATGAACAGCACCTTCCAACAATGGACCCATTCAGAAGTACAGTCACGGCCAACAACATTTGTACCGCGTGGACCAAAATAATGTGACGCTTTAAAGGGCTCTGCGATAACTTTTATCATAAAGTCTTCGGCAAACGCCCTCCACCCCCCGGCCCTCCTCCTGTAACTGTGTCATTATGCTCTTGTGGTGAGCAACCGGCTCTTTGCAGCAATCACATCCAGCTGCAGAGGACGGGACATGGCACGCACAACCCTCACACACAATCGCTCGCACATTACCGTGTGTCACACCAAACGCCAGCCTGTGAAAACTTTGTTAATTTTACGTTACTATTTGTCAAGTAAGAACAGAGGCGCTCAGAGTTCGGAAGCTGGTATTTTGGTTTATGTTTGAGCTTTTATTCCAATTGTATGTACTGAAATATACAAAACACTGACACCTGCCAATCCAGCGGCAACAAAGACAGGAAAATGACATTTTCGGACACAGAAACATTCTCCCAAAAACATACAAACAGACCCAAGTACAAGACTGTAGTTCTATAAACCTCCCGTGTGAATCAAATTGCCATCATACCCAGTTTTCGTCTTTTGTAGACAGAAGGGATATTGAAATGGTCCGCACTACACAAACGAGAAAACAGAGATTGTTTTTGTTTTCGTGTAAAAGTCCAGACTGGCCACTCCTGGCTGTGTGTCCCCTCAGACACTTGCACAGCATCAGAACACTTATTCCAGAAGTGGAGTGCTTCAAAAGTCACATTCACAAAAAACAGCAAAAGTACAGAAATGGGACACAGAGACGCACGCGATGCTGCGACACAGGGGTTGTGTGACTTTAAACCTTGTGTTGACAACATTAATTGGCTTCATACGTTCTGTGTTACAGTTCACAAGAAATGCACAACTCTGAACAATAGCACTAGTTTGAAATCTCTGATAGCGTGTTTTGGGGGTCTATTTCCTTGGGGAAAGTTAATAAAACTTACACACTACTAGCTGCCGGTAACAGATCGAGCTTTATTTCAACATGTTGGTTCAGACTAATTCCAGCTAATACTGTGCGAGCTGCATAAACTCTCCACTGATTATCGTGTCGTCACTCTGTGACAACTGAAGTGTAAAGACTATTTTCTTTCCGTAGCAACGAATCGAGTTTCGGTTGCTACGTTTGATAGTTATATAGTGCAAAACCCTACAATTACTAAGTACATACAAAAAACATACATAAGCGTGTGACAGTTCCAGTTCATGCCGAAGGACAGTCTCACAAACAGCTGGAAAGTGAGAACAAACTCATCGTGTGTGTTTAATTCCCAGACTGTAAATCCCTTGTGAATAGTGCCCTTTATTCCTTGTGTGAGCTTTTCTTTTTTTTGCTGATCTCCTCTTCTACCTAAAAAATTAAAAATAAAAATTGCGCAGGTGTCCAAACTTATGTCTAAATGAACATATATTGGCTTTCAGTCTCAACTTTTGGCTTGTGATTGTTCTGAAAGATTAACTTAACATGAACACATGTAGGGATTCCCCCCCCACACACACACACACCTTCCTGACAGTCGCTCAGTGTGTCTGTGATGTGCAGTTCCACACGCACGCTGTAGCAGTGCATTGTGCTACGACATCTGTTGGGTTTTTCCCGCTTTGAGAGCCACAGGAGAGGCAGTTCTCCACCTGACTTGCTTCTCGTCATTCCCAAAACAAACGGCTCCGGAGGGAAAACCAGCAGGTCACAAAGCTTCTTGGAAAAAGTCCCCATGTGAATCCCCATCATCAACATCTGTGACGTCGCGAACCCCCTCGGCCACTAGGGGTCCTCCTCCATGTCGTCCAGGTTGGGAGCCATGATGAAGTGTTTGGGGTAGAGGAGGCTGTGTTCGTCCGCGTATTCCTCCCAGCGCGCGTCATCGCTCTCGTGTGTGATGTAGCGCTCTCCTCGCCGCGTCTCAAACTCCCTCAGGTCCAGCCACGTCTGATAATCCTGAGGGAAAGAGCGGGAAGTCAGTACGGAGAGTTGGGCCTCTCACCAGTCTCACTATCTGGTTGCTATGGATGGCCCTCACAGAAGTGTGTAAGCTTTGCATGATTTGAACTGGAAACTTTACCATTTCTATAAAGACTATAATATTGAAATATCTGTCTTCTACTCTGGGCAGTTATAATCATGAAGTAAGTTGCTACTATCATATCTCCTCTTAGAATTTTCTTACAAGTCTAGTGAATAAATGCAGTGGTTTTTATTGATCTTAATTGGCACGTGGTGAGAATAGTTTCTGTAATGGAGTCATAAGCCGTGCGGATGTTAGTTATGAGTCTACCGTCTGCTTGCTTGGGTGTTGTGTGGGTTTTTTCTGTCCTTAACAGGTTTCGCTGTTCATTTAGTTTCTGTACTTCAGAGCTCTGTTTTTTAAGCATTTATTTATTTATGTTTATGCAAATTTGGACCTTGTAAGTAGAATATTAGCTTTTCCCATTTGCACCCTTTTGATGTTCTGGTTGTGATTTTTATCTTCTTTTTTTATACATGTTTAAAGAAATTGTAATAAAGATGTCACCTGTAACCAAGGATGGCTGAGACACTTGTCCACGCTATATCTTTTCCTCATTTTGACTTGGAGAAGGTTATTGATCAGATCTGTGGCTGTGGTGAAAACAAATGATAGATAAAGCATGTTAGTACGACTTTTAATAATTTCATACACACAGTACATTTCTACACATTTCTCTTTTAGAGGGAAATGAAGAAATAATAATAAAAATTTAAAAAACTAAAATCGAAACATACTTAAGGTGGATTAGCATGATTTTTGCATTATGCACTTTATGTAGGGGAGGCTGCAGCCTCTACAGTTGGAGATGATTGAGTGATTCATCTCAACCACAGAGAAGAAGTCGGTAAAAAGTTCAGATGACCCAGACATGTAGGTGGGGAACACACTTCTTGAGCTACAGTATGACATTAAACAACAGTTGCGGATATGCCAATGACAGTTTCTAGAAGTAAATGACAGACTTGATCAGCTACTCTGCGACTGCGGCTGGAAGGAAGTGCAAGCGGATGGCTCTGTCCTCCTACCTTCAGTTGAAATGTCCTTCCAGGGTGCAGGGGGGTACATGAAGGCAGCATTCTGGATCTGGTCGTTAATGTCCTCATCCTCATTAAAAGGGAAGGTCCCGCTCAAGCTGACGTACACGATGACTCCCACTGACCACATGTCCAAAGAGCGATTGTAACCTTTACTTCGCAGGACTTCAGGAGCCAGGTAAGCAGGGGTGCCCACGACTGACCTCCGGAATGACTTTTCACCGATGATACGGGCAAAGCCAAAGTCACAAAGCTTTACCTGCAAAAAAAAACAGACAAAGATGCCAAAATTATGCCAAAGGGCACAGAAACACGCAAAAATAAATTAAATGTATATGTTTACCTGAGGGAAAGGCTCAGCAGAGGCCAGCAGCACATTCTCAGGCTTCAAGTCACAGTGAACAATGTTTTTGAAGTGCAGATGTCTCAAGGCAACCAGGATCTGATGCAAACATAAGAGGCATAAACCCAGATCATGAAAAAATGATGGTAATGTAAACTCCAAAACATTTAAAAGCATAAACCTTGTGTTATAAACAGAGTGATGTTCGTTCACTCTGTGGAGCAGAATCTCTGGTGCATCCGTATGGAAATACAGCAACAATGAAAGCAAACTAATGGCCTTAAATCCTTCCATCTTGACCAGTACATTCATATGAAGATAAATGATTTCATCTCATCTTTATTCACAAGGCTTGGCAAAAGCTCGGTTTGCATGTATGTATGCCTAAGGCTCGGTACCAAAACCACAGTACGCCTGGCTCCCTGCTTCTGACCCGGGCTTTAACCAAAGTCCTCCACGCCACATCAGAGCCAGGCCCACCACAGCTAATGGGACTGTTGTTAATGGCCCTGCTCCCGTTTGGGACCTGGAATCTGTGGAGGCCCGGGGGCCTACTGCTCCTTTAATCAGGTCACAAAGCCACCAGCACATGTAGGCTGTAATCCACAGCCAGGGAGGAGGCCCTGATGCCTAGCGGGCCGATCCCATTAACAATTCCCCTCGATCGGCTCACCAAAAATGAGAATAAACAATCCTTCAATCTTAAGGAAAATTTCAGAAGGCCCTGAAATGGGACATGGCATGTATGAAGAAAGCAAAGATATACCTATGGTGGAATCGATAAAATAGTGGAGGCTTAAGAGATCGGCTGTATATGTAATCCACAATCTCAGAAAGGACAGCAACATCATCTCATGGAGACTATTAATTTACACTCGGGAAGTCAATAAAAGAGACACCATGAGATGTAGATACGTGAAGAACATTTGTAATAGCCATGCATACCTGTGTGACCAGGAACTTGGTGATTCTTTCAGGTAGTTTGCTCTTCTCGCTGGACAGGATCATCTCCAACATGTCGCCATGCAGCTTCTCCATGACAACAAAAACCCGCTCTGGGGTCTCAAACATGCACTCCAAGTTCACAATACCTGGATGATGCAGATTCTGAAAATAACCAGATAAAGTTACTGACATCTTTATTATAAAAACAAAAATATGGATTCACACTAAGCTTATTCTTAAAGTGCGTCCTGTAAATTGTGTGCTTTGTGCTATTTAAGCTGGATTCTGTCATTACCTGCAATATGGCCACCTCATTCCTTAACTGACTCTCCTGTTTGGTGGGAAATCTCATCTTGTCTATAACCTTGATGGCCACATCTCTGCCACTCTTTCTGTGTTTGCCTAAAATAATATTGATGTATGAAAACCACGACTTCAAAAAACACCCAAAATGTAATTTAATACAGTTTAGCCAAGTATACATTATGAGAGCGTAATAAAAAGAGAAACATACCTCCATACACAATGCCAAACTGGCCTGATCCCAGCACTTCATCAGAGAATATTTGGTAGACAGAGGCGATATCCTGGACAGATAACAATTTGATTGTTGTTAAATGATTATATTTAACCTGTTGAAATATTCAAGTTAACCTTCCAGGCTGAAACCGGCATTTGTCGGAAATTACATCCCCCCCTATGGTTTAGCTAAGCTGTTGCTTTTCCAAACAGTTTTAGGTATTGCCAAATATTTAACTTTCACTCAATGCAGAAATGGAACTAAGTGAAAAACCCCATGCCCCCCCAAAAAAAGAGAAGAGTGAGCAGCTTCCCCATTTCTGCTGAATGAGTGCTTCCACTGGCTGTTTTAATAAAAGCAACCGTAGGATACAATTTCTGCTCTCACCACAACAGCTACATTAATAGCACACAAATGCATGAATTTGCACGCTGTGCTGGGAAATTGTGCTGTTGCTTGTCACTGAAAAAAAGAAGCTTGACTTACCACATTCTCCTGGATCTGGCAGTTGGACACAGATATGCTGATGGACAGCTCTTCTGAAGGGGAAAACATGTGATGTTATTTGTATTCAACAGCAAAAAAACTTAACTTTATTCATGCACTACATAGCAAATAAATCCTTGAGTAATCGCTCCAAGAGATGCATTGCTTACATACTATTATTTCTACTTTTCAGAGGGCTTCAGTCCTTTTGCAGCTGCATGCAATAAGTCACAGCCCCACATAATGAAGCATTTTATTACACAATAAATTGGCTATAAAATTGATCTGCGGAGCTATGTGTGACTGAGTGGTTCGAGTATGCGGCGTATTTCAGAGATGGGAATTAAGACCACAGGGGTTATACTGCAGACTAGCCAATGATCAGATCAGCCTGAGATAAAAGCAAGGAAAAACGAATGGCACACACGAGAATGTAATTTCAATCTTGGCACACGCGCTTTGATTTCAGCTTGACAGCGAGGACCATATAAATTACACCAATGCAAGGTTTCGTCCATCTCAACTGGAAAACTGAATCCAGATCAGAGTGTAACTTATGCAGTTATGCAATGCTTCCAAAAGTGACGTAACGTCTTATTCACTTGCCAGATCAGAGTTTTCTAATGTCATGCCTATGCTTGCAATTCTTTCCTACTAATGAGCATTACTCTCATGTGAATCACTAATCTACGATCAACTCAAAACCACAGAGCCCCTCTGTCTTGACCTATGAGAGTAAAGCTCAGTTTCTGTTACTTCACTTGCCACTTCTCTAATTGCCGAACAGAATCTTTGGCCCTACTTCCTTGAGGCCTATACAAAGACACTAAAGGTGGGCTTTCCCTTGCAATAGAAACTCTGGGGGCATCATCAACTTTGATTTGGGAAAACCTCAAACTTTCGCTATAAATAACCTGTGTTGCGAGGCTGCTGGATAGAAACTGGACGAGGAAATCCCGGAAAACTATAAATCATCTTCAAAAGGGGATATTAATAATATCACTACTTCCCCTTCAAGCTCACACGTCCCGCACACAGATGCATCGGTACATTTTGCACAGTAAAGATAGCGTGATTTAAACTTACTGTGATCTTTGCCCTGACCAGCAGCACTGGCCACACTGGGCTGGGGGGTGACGGGCATCAGGGCCTGTCTGATAGCCTTCTCCCAGCCTTGGGCCACCTCCATACCGACGCCAGAGGCGGCCAGAGCAGGGCTGTGGTAGTTACTGCTGTTGTTTTCGCCTACATAGTAAACCATGGTGCCTGTGATGATCTCAAAGCAGTGAGGGTTACTACCTTGGGCCAGATTACGGAAGTCTCTAAATGGCTCTACCTGGAGGATCTCAGACAGAGGGATTTCCTGTAGGAGCAGTGAGAAGAAACAGATAAGTAGAAGAAAAAAGAGATGGAAGAAATTATGCCTTTGTATTCTATGCAAACATGTACCAAGAGAGAAGTTTTTTTCTTTTTAAATGACGTATAAACAAGTGATATACAAGTGGAAGGAAGAAAGACTCCAACATTTAACACACCAAAAAGCATGCGCACAGATACATGCCTGTCTATACTTGCTGGCATTTTGAAATCAAAAACAAATGGACACTCCAACACATTAATCAATAAGCCTTCACAAAGAGAGGAAACAAAATCATTTCAAATTCACTTCAAAATTCCAATTAGCACACCAGGTCCCAAAAACGTTGGTTAAGATTTGAAAAACAAATGTGATATGTCCTACAGTAACCGGCAGCTCATTCAAAGAAATCAACATAAATTGCATCGCATGTTAAATCAGCCAATGTGAAGCTATACCAACACTGCAATACATTGCACAACAAGAAAACAATTTTGATACGGGTTGTCAAACTCACACATTTCAAAGGTCTCCCCACTCTGTGGTCCCAGCTCTAACTCTCTCCTTCCCTCTTCTCTCTCTTATGAGCACAAACAGAGAGGAGAGTTGCAGCGCCACACTTAAAAAGTCCCCCCTTCCCCTTTAAACTTGCTGTCAAATCAAAGAGAGGAGGGAGGGTCAAATACAAAGAAACGAAAAAAAAAAAAAACTTCCAGCAAATGGGGGGCTGGGGGTGCACGCTGTCCCCTGCGCATGGCTCACCACAAAGTATCAGATGAAGTGCTTGTGGTTAGCGGGGCCGGGTCACGTGAGCAGATTCTGCTGCGGCCGATGGGCTTTTGGTTGCCTGATTACAAGGCAGGCCCAGTCAGAGGCCCCATCTGAGCACGAGCCGCTGGCGCTACCGCTAGCCACGGAGACCAAAGACACGGCAACTACCGTTCCCCCACGCCGAGGACGGCAAGCGGGTGCATGGGGGTGAACGGCTTCACTGTGACAGGAGCGGGACAGAGAGAAGCCCCTCACCCCATGAAAGGTTTCTTCAGAGAAAGCCACAAGTACAGGGGTCTCGTCTTCAAACGAGGAGCCGTTATGGCTTCCAAATGGTGGAAATGGCTGCCATGCCTGGCAAGAAAGCCACCACGCGACCACCACTAATCAGATCGGAGGTAGAAAGAGAAGAGGATAGGGGAGGACGGTGGCCACACACTGATGAGCAGCAGGCACAAAACGCTCAAGACAGACGGTTCCCCGAATCCTGAATGAGCTTATCGTAAATCAGTGGCCTCAGCAGAGAAACAAATGATTACCCCAGAGAGAACTATTTTCTTCTTTATGCACAGAAAAAGTATCGTATCATCTATCACAGTTGAACACTTTTGTGTATGAAGAATAATGACCAACCCCCGGAGAAAAAGAGGGATTAGCAGTTACTACACAAAGTCTTGCAAAACTGTTTAAACAAGCCTTTCATTAACTTGGTGTGTATTCGATTTGTGGTTTCTGTTATGACACATCCTACTTATTTCTCGGTTTTTGTTGTGAAGCACTTTTTTTTATCTTTTAAAAGTACTTTATGAATAAACACTTATACCATGAATTTACCTCCTAAAGGTTTTAAACATAGCTGATAGTAAGGAACCACACAAAGTTGCCAGTAAACACACCCTGAGGAGTCTGTCCTCACTGAGGTTTCCTCTCTAAGGCTTTAGTGGTACGGGAGGCAGGGTGTGACAGAGTAATTGGGAGAGAAGGGAGATGTAATTAAGTTTTCTTCAGTGTTGTTTCACAGCCAGACTGGATTGAGACACAGAAAAAGGAGGCAGAATAAAACAGGACTCTACATGAGCGCTATGTATGAAGCCACCTGTTTGACACATACTCGTGAAGAAATGAACTGGAAACTCTGCATCCTACACACCATCCCGCTGTTACACACCTCTGACCGCAACTTAAATAGGTGCCAAAGTCTCAAAAATGAAATGAACAATAGACTAATTACACCCCCATCACTCTAGACACACACACACAACCACCAACACACATGTGGAAGTCTTTACCTTGCAGGCTGCAGTTTCCTCCCTTTAGGCACAGTGTGTAATTACTGCTCTATTAAGCCCCTGTGGCTGTGTAATGACTGGCTAACAGTGCTGCCACAGAGAGGGAAGTGTCACACACTCTCCACAACTGACTTTAGACACAGAAATTACGGCATTTCAATCAGCAGCACCACTCACTTTGAAAAGAGTTCAGGATTTCCAAAAAGATCTAATTCAGACTCTAACAGCCTCTTCTTCTTTTTGTACCTGCAAAGTATACACACTTAAATCCCCCTCAAATGTCTGTGAAAAACCACAGGGGAAATTTCAGAGGGCCCAAATGTCCTCCCTGAAGTTTACAGTCACAACACCAGCGCTCTTGGGCTGAGTCACACAACTAACGTTTGCCTTTTTTTCAAATAGCTTACAATGGTCACATTCACTCATGAATGTGAAAATCTACATTGTGAATTGAGCAACAACTCATGTGAAACATAAGTGGTGGGCTTTCAGTTCTGTGAAGCTTTCATCTGGATTTAAAAAACAAAGTTCACCTCGAAGTCGACACTTAATCAACCTGCAACAGGCTGAACTTTTGTGACTTTTTAATAAATGTTACTGTCTGCTGTGTTCCAGGGACAACAGATGTTTAGTTTAGTTTTTTTTTAAGGTAGAGGCCGTTTTTGTAAAGCTTACTTTGTAGAACTTGGCTCCAGTGTCGTTCTGGAAGAGACTCAGACTTTTGCTGTCCAGCCTCCAGTAATGTCTCTTCCGCTGTGAAAGGGAAAAATGAAAAGCAAAGTCAGAATCTGTACCATTATTGCAGAAATGCTGAGATCCGATTTCCTAAGAAAAATACCTTCTGTGTTGACTTCAACACATGAGATTAGGGTGGGAGAGAAGCTCGCCCAGCATTCAGACTGGGCTCTGTTGGGCAATTGGGTTTATCAGTCTTACCAGGTTGTCCCTGCTTGTATAATGAACCATCCAGCCCTCCTTCACCACTGTGGAGCTCCGCCTCTTGGTGTGTTTGATGGACTGGACCACCCTCATCAGAGGGATGTTGCTGCTGGTGGAAGGGCTAAACATATTCGAAAAAAATAAATAAAAAGAAACAATTCTATTATGGTTTTATCAAACGCTTTGGAGCTTTTCTTCAGGGAAAGGTAATCAGCGCAATGACATGGCCGGTCCTGATTTCAATTTGGCTTAAAATCTATGATGGAAAAAAACAAAGGCCCATGAGTAGATTTCATCCAACAGAGTTCAACGCCAACAATGTTGAGCCTTAAAGTTTAAGCTTTTTCTAGTATTTCAGCTGAAATACTCTTCCTCCTGAGTAAGAGCTGATGGTTCTTCTGCGACATAGGTGCCTATTGTTTGCTTTTTATGAAATAAAAACCATCCATGAACATCTTGCAAGTGTGGCAATTCCATCATTTTTAAAAAGACAAACTCAGTGCATACAACGTGTCAAGCTGGAGCAATCTGTAAATAAATAAAATCTTAATTTAATACCTAATAGTCTTGATGGGCTCTTCGTCCTTCTCTCTGTCCATGAACGGAGAGTCCATGGCAAACATCCCATCTGGGGTCGACGGTTCTTCTGGATCATCCAGTCCTCTGCCACTGTCCAAATCGCTGCTGTCTACTTCCATAGTGTCCATGGTAGTGTCTGAGTCTGGACCAGGGCTGGCTGGTTCTGCACATTAATATCAAATACACTATTTTAATTTATCAAAATACTGACGACATACAGCACCAAACGGTGCCTGACGGTTTACTCACAAAACCTAAAACATCAAAAACGGATTACTTTCTTGCTTACATACATGCCCAAGGAAAGAGTAAGAAAACATAATATTTCTATTTTGTCTATTGTTATTGTCATTGTGTTCATTCAGAAGGGCCTTTCCCTTCAGTCTGTGTGTGCTGGCTGTAAAGCTTACCTCCATTAAAGTCCACCTCCCCTAAACAGTCTCTCGGTACCTTTGAAGCACACCTCTTATGGCAGTTAAATCTGCAATCTGGAACATAATAATTACGTTAAGGCATTTCCATCCCGTTCCATCTACACATGCATTTATTTTCCTGTAAATTTTTACCTTTGCATTGCATTCCCTGACGAAACAGACCCTTGAGTAGACGCTTGCAGTATTGGCACATTGTGGGCCGAGTGTAGGTGTGAATGGCAAAGGTGTGTGGCACCTTCACCCGTGTCTTCTCCATCATGTCCATCCAGATAGGCCTGCCGCTCCAGGACAGAATGCGCTTCCCTGCCTCCTGGTGGGACCGAGGCTGCTAAAGGTTGGTGAAGGGAAAAGGGTGAAGACGGATAGAGAAAAATCCATATCACTGTAAAAGGACTCACAGGCTAAATTCCGATTATTCTGAACAAAGCTATTCAATTAGTCACATTTTACTACATCTAGTTCTCGTTTGATGTGCATAAGCAGTCCTGAAGTTCCTGAGAGAAATCTTCTTTTTTTTTTTTTGGTAGATACATAAACTTGGTCTCCAGTCATCTTTTAATGTCATCAGCATAATTACATTTCCTTGTGACCTTTTACATGAACACAGACAAGACGGGATGATTCCAGCTAGGGCTTATGCAAAAGAAGTTTCATAAGAACTCACTGGGAGTTCTGTATTCACTGCGACTAATTCAATTTAATGCATCACTGGTATTCTACAACGTGGCTCTGGAGATTATGCAGTGGAAAATAGCCAAATTTGATAAGTTTAGAAACATTTAATTGCAGAGTTGGTTAGCTGCATCTGGCCTGCCTGCTTCATACACATGTAGGTTCACCTGACTTCCAGTCTGATCTGAAAGCCAGAGCATTTTTTCATTCCATTCACAGAGTCTCCGTCAACTGGGACTCACCTCGTCTGGGACGACCGCTGCATTTTCAGCAGGTGAGGGCCGCGGGACAGAGAGAGACGGCCCCGGCAGCGAAACGTTGGACAGGCGCCGCTTCTTCACGCCCGTGCAGTTATTTGGGATCTTGAAGGCGCAACGTTTGTGGTAGTTTAACCCGCATCCTAATGAAACGGAAAAAAAATCACAGATCACACCAGTGTACAAACCCCCCCCCAAAAAAACAGAAATATTGTAACTAAATAAAAAAGTGAAGACATTTTTACAAAGCAACCACAAGATGGCCCCACCAACAAAAAGGCAGGCAGAATTTCACAAGCAAGAATCAACTTAATTAAAGATCAACGAGGAGTTCAAATGCAATTAAACGCTAATAAAAAAAACAACAGATTATCATTCAAATCATCTTCAACGTTGACAAAAAAAACTGTGGGGCAAGCCGGCATGCCATTATTCCACTGGGACCTAAATGTCAAGCGTTAAAAATTGCTACAGTTCCCAGACCAAGTCACTCTTGCTTGCTTGTATCTCCCTGATAGATTCTCAGGGTCAGAGATGTGGTGTGTTTGAACATCTGAGTGAAAGCTGGAGCACAGTGCAGTGGAGTTTATTTGTGGGTTCCACAGAATTAATCCGCACCCGTGTGTCTTCTCACCTTCACATTTGAGCCCCTGTCGCACCAGACCCCACAGCATTTCTCCGCAGTAGTCGCAGAAGGTGGGGGCCTTGTATGAGTGAACATAGAGGGCATGGGGTCGGATCTGGAAGTCCTCAACTGTGGCTTGAGCTAGAAACAAAAGAAAAAAAAGTTTTTCTAATTTAAACAAGTTACTAAAACATTTTCTTAAAATATAGGAAACCATGGCAAAAAATATCTATATATTAAATATATGTATATATAGTCAAAATATAGTATATAGTACGTTATTTATTATGCAGTTGGGAGCTGTTTCATACAGGTTCAAAGTTATTGTGCACAGAACGTAGAAGTGGTTCATTTTCCTTAATTAAGCACATGGGAAACCTGGCTGTGATATCTGTGTGGCTGCAGCAGAGGGCGTCCCATCTACAACGAAATGTCAAACTTTCCATTTCCTCCATCAAAAGATAAGTTGCATAAGATTTTTTTTTAAGTTTAACCAGTAATCTACATTAGTATGACCCAATAATCAAATCTAGCACGGCTCCGATAACATCTCCCTTTCTATTCCTCTGTTTTTATTCCTTCATCTGTCCGCTGATCTGTGTCAAAGTGGACACTCTTAGCTCACTGTTGGAACCGAGTCATTGTTATTCATGCCTGTGAATCATCATAGATGTGAAGATGACTAAGATATGGAGGTGAACAGTGCCAATCTTTTGTGTGCATGACTGATGCTTCTCTTTTCTGTTACTTGCTGTTCCCATACAATCATTCATGTGGCCACACTGACCCAGAAGAGGATAGTTAATCTTTACACGGTGGTGAAGCAGCTGAACCTGTGTGGCAGTGGTGATGTCATGTAGTTTGTACTGGTTCCGTTTTTCTGAAGGTACTAAAAGGTGCTTAGAGTACAACAGGGAACGTTCTCAAACACACTAATCTTAGCTTTCAGAAAATAAACCCCAAAATATTGATAAAAAGAAAAACAGACTTTAAACAAATATCAATTGTTAATTGAAAAACCAATACAGCATTCCCCCTTCCAATTTGAAGAGCGGAGACCTTTTTCTGTTTTAATATATAGTTTGAACTATCCATTCATCCATTCATTTTCTATACCGCTCTTTCGTGGTGGATCACAGATGGGCTGGAGCCTGTCCCAGCTGTTATTGGGCAAAGCTGGAATACACCCTGGACAGGTCGCCATTCCACCACAGGCCCATATGGAGAGTTACTAACTCCTTAGCACTATTCAAAAGTGACTTTGAATCACATCAATACAATTCCCTACTGATCAGCACCATGAATATCAGAGAACACCATGTGAGAAGACTCGGGATAACTTTTTTCTCCAGTTCAGGGAACCGGCATGGCTTGTGGGGTGATGTTCACAGTTCGGGTTTGATTTCAAAGGAAGAAAAAAAAAAAAAAGACGCCGGCAGGTCACATGTCACGAGGGGAACACGTCGGCCTGGCACAGACGCATGAAAGGCGGTATTCATGAGCCTTTCACACATGTCTGCAAAACAACTGGCCGGTTCTTAGCATTCACAGCGTTATGCAACGCTCGTCCTGCCAATTAGCGTCAAACAACACCGAACATGAACTCGACACGTTGTTTGTTCACAGTGTTTCTTAAAAAGAATGAATGCATTATCTGTTAAAGGCACTGCACTTCCCTTCAGAAGTCAGAACTTTCTGCGGGATGAAAACAAAGTTCGCAGTTATTCGTGACAAACAGAAGGTATTATAAAATACACTTCTCGCATTGCCTCTACTGTCGGATGAGGGCTTTATAAAAGTGGGTGGAAATTTAAGAGGAGTGAAAAAACAACGGCCAGTCGGTCGGGCCAAACCTCAGGGGCTGAGGCGGCCTGTGCAGTGTTTGCAGTGTCCAGCGCATCAGAGCCTGTTTACACTCCACGGCTCTACTACAATCACTTATTGAAGCGAAAACAAGCCTTTTTCTTTGAGCTCGCAGCCAAGAAAAAGCAGCTTCCCACCCCTCCTGTGGACGGGAAGACGTTCAGATACTCTGTCTAATATAATCCAACAACAGGCTGGTTGAGGGGGAACAAGGGGAAAGATGACAGGAGACAAATTGTGGGTCAGAGAAAGGTTAGATTTTTCTCTGAAGCAAATGAAAGGCCTGGGAATGCGGATGTCGCAGTTTTTTCTCCTTCTAAAAGATCAAGTTGCTGACATGCAAAGTGCCTATCGTTGAGTGTTAAGTGAAATTTAAAAACACATTAGATCCTCTGAGCTCGATTTAATCAGTGAAGGTTTAAACAGTCTAGCCCACACCTGCAGATGATCACATGGATAGAAACTGAAACATTAATACAACAAGACAAACATAGACTAAGAGAGACAAAAAGAAGGAAGCTCTCCAGTCATAAGTCTGCATTCCTCAGCCCTGATGTATTCAGAGATCCTGAATCTATATGATCTTCCGCTGTCTAAATCTGTGCAAACAATCCTCTGAGTCCGGGAGAGAGGGGAGGATATTCAGCACAGGTGCTGTCAGGTACCTCCCAACAGAGACAGATGGAGCAGGAGAGCAGATTAAAGCAACTCAGAGACTCTGAGCTATTTGCTCGTCTCAGCTGCACAGAGGAAGATGATTCATTCCTGGAAGGAAATAACAGAGAAAAAACAGACACCTATGAAGCTGCCATAGAGGTGAACAATCTGATGGACGCCGCAACGAGAAAGAATGACAACAAAACCAAAACTGCAAGTGAACGGCTGAGAGCTTTGCAGTTCTCCTCAAGTCCCACATCACATCCAATTTCTCCAGACCCACTTTTTTATGGGCAGCAAAGTTTCACTGAGCACTGCAAGTGACTTTAACCAAACTTAATAGGCTGTTTTTACTGGAAAGAGAGAAATATGACTTGGAAAAAAAAAACATATCAAAAGAAGCAGTATCAGTTTTAGGCCATTGTTTGGACGGTAAAACCTTCGATTTATACTGTGCAGAAAAATTTTATGACCATTTTGTCCCTGATTTGGAAGTGTAAGAAGCAAGACCTTAAGTGTGTTTGAAGTACAGAAGACTCTAGCAAAATGATGCCATCACACACAATTTGGAAGTTATATGAGTTGTATATAAAATGATGGCAAGTGCAGACAACATAGGATATTAATATGATTACAGCCCAGCACCATATCTGGTAAGCCGTCACTGGGTGCATACTGTAAATGTGGATTCAAAAATACTTAAAGGCTCCTACAAAACCTTCATAACTTGAGTCTAAACTTTTGTTATAAATGAAGAAATAAAGAAAGCAATAGTTCATCTGAGTGTCTTCTCCCTCCCTTTTTGACCGCAGCCATTCCGGATGCTGGAAGAAGAGTGGGCAGCATGCTTTCTGTAAAACAACACATTGTCCAATAGTTTGTTTGCAAACATACCAGAGAGCACCACCTCAATCAGGTCCCCTTCATGGATGTCTTCGACCGAGGTCAGCCTCTGTAGGATGTTCTCATCGTTCAGGTTGTGCCGGAATAGCAGGATTTTGTCATACATGCCAAAAAAGCCACACTCTGGAAACTGAAGAGAAAATGGAGACACGTGATCAAACAACAGGAGTTAAAATGCTGGTGAAACTTTACAGTTGAGTGAAGTAATGACTGAATTATCTGAATTATCTTCGGGTCCTAGGAGATAATTAAGACCTAATCAATTGTAGGAAATAAAAACAAATACACATCTTTCTGGTTTGGACCCGTCCTGTTTGTTAAACTGAAACAAATAGCCTCATATTACATCGTTTCCAGTGGCTTACACCCTCACTGGTTAATGAACTGGAGTATTCTGAACCGAGTGACTCAGGAAATGAGCCTCTGCACAGACCGCCTTTCCTCATTTCAAAGGAATTTACACTATAAGGTAAGAGGAAATGCAACTTAAAGGACCGCTCACTCAAAACCGCTTATTGTGCTAGCTCAGCTCTGCTAGCAGGGCTCAGCAGCTGTGGCCAGGGCCAGGGCCGGAGCCAGGGGCTAACTTTTACGAGCTGCTCTGTAACCAGCGAGTCTCATCGTAAAGGTGGTGGGAGGTTATGAGAGTCAGAGAAGCAGGAGGTAAAGATTCTGAGAGGAGGAGAGGAGAATCCGTGCTAAGGAAGTGCAGCTGTAGTCAGAACTGAGGGGCTTCCTGCATCAAGAGGAGCACGTCTTAGAGAGCAACGTTTTCCTCGCCATGGTAGGACTGTGGTGACATTCTGTGACCCCGTGCGCACGTTTCTAGTGTAGGCATCGCAAACACTGCAGCTTGTACATTGATGTGGTACAGCGGTTCTGCATTTGGAATGCCTGCTTGGCACTCATCTCTCCTATTCATTCAAATGTTTCCAACCACAGAGGAAAATCATCTGTTAAACATCACCTGCTTAGAATAACAATGTGTTTGCACACCTGACAGGGCGGAAAAAGTCGATCAACACTAGATGGATGTTTGAATCTGACCCGTACGGTTTTGGATCAAAGTAGAGGTTGCAGTTTTGCATGATGACAGGAGCCAGGTCTTGATGCCAAACAGGCTGGTATTGAAGGATCCACAGCTGTTTCCCCTCGAATCAGGGTCATGCACAATGGGCCAAGCAGAACAATGTCACTATGGCCCGGGAGCACCAGGGTTTGGGGCCGAGTCTCAGCATGGGACACATGAGACACCTGGACCTTCACAGGTGCCAATAAAAACAGATGCAAGGAAAAACTGATGGCCGGGATGGCGTTGGTGGATGAATAGACACTAAAAAAGAAAGACTGGCCAAAAAAAATGCCATCGTGACAAAAAACAAAAAAAAACTTCTGTGACAAATAGCTTTTCCCCTGTGAGACCCATCAGTTTAAGACTTATTCGTCTGCTCGTGATTACTCTGAACTGTTTCAAATCAAATTAAAAAAAAAATCAAATTTTGTTAAGAATTATATTAAGAACTATGATCGAGTGCCTGCGCAATGCAAAGCTGTACAGGTGACAAACATGAGCCAGACAAAAACACTGCATTGGAATAAATTCGTGCTCCTAGCTGTTGGGTTTGGTTTGAAAAATTATTTCTAATGTTTTGAAACTGACTCGAGGAGTCCAAATAGTTCAGAGTCAGGCAAGGCACGTGCCTGCACAATATGGAACTTTTCCCAACTCAGCCACCTTTTCCTGACACACAGACATCCTAAACCCTGGCATGCGTTAAGGTGATTAATGCTGCACGGCACAGGCGGGATAAGGGGGGCATCCTTCCTGAGCTGGCTGCAGTGGGGTTTTCCTCCACTAGCCTGACTCAGAATCACATAATAAATAAAAAAACGCAACAACACTCGGGTTGGTGCATAAGTCTATCCAACTCAAGTCACCTCTAGTACAGCATTTTCCATCGCACGGAATCGGCCCATTTAGGAGCAGACGCATGGGCACGCACGCATGCAGCCGCTCAGGGCAAAGGACACAAAGGTTTTTCATGCCCTATGGAAGCAAAGGGGAACAACAGTGGAATGGCAGCTTTAACGGCGTTGGCTGATGGCTAACCTGTGCGTGTTTCCCCCCCTCCTGACACGTGAAAACATTCACCAACATGCTCCTTGGCAGTGGTGCACCCTTAACACGTCATCGTGCACACGTGCTACCGGGGGGGGACTTGAGGCCGCCGCGGCTCGCCGTCCCTTTTGTCATCTTCAAACGCAGAACCGCTGAGCCCTGCGGCCCCGACCACACACGCACACCAAAGATGTGGAGGAGCTGCGTGTGAGGTCCACAAGTCAGGCGGGGAGGACAAGTGGAGGAGGGCTTTGCAGTAGTAAGCTTTTGTTAAACGAATTAATCTGCCATTGATATGTGAAATCCTATTATGGAGGGGGGGGGGGGGGCGAGGGTCAGGGGAGATGGCGGAAATGCTGGTGTGAGAGAGACACGTCTGAAATGTGTTGATACGTCACAGGAAGCCAAAAACTAATAAACCGAAGACAGCGGGGACAAAACATTAAGGGGTATCAACTCTGAATACAGCACAATCGTGTAGATTATAAAACATAAATAAGGGAAATCCCATCTGAGCTTATTAAATCTGTTTGATAAAGGACGCACATGATGCCTGGAAGAGATTAATCTGTAAGAAAGCTGATGTGTGGAGGCTCTCAGCTGTACGGGACAGTGTGTGGTGGGACATTTGTCTGATGTGCAGCGGAAGCGGAAGGCGAAGGGGAAGCCCTGACAGATGGGCTTCTAATGACAGTAAGGAAAGTATGCCGCTTGACCTCAGATGGCTTCACACCTTTAGCGAGGCAGGCAGATGTAGACAGAAACAGCTGAAAGATCTGCTCCACGTCACTATGAGGAGCTTCAGTTACACAAATTGGTAGGCACTATTTTATTGTTTTATTATTAAGTACACATAAGAGTTTTATTAGTTTAAAAAAAACTTGTTATGTAATTCTAGGCTTATCTCAGTAAGCCTCTAATTCATTCTGTGACTGAGGCTACAAACAATGCCTCTTTTTCTGGGATATTCTTCAAACTAGAAGTACTCAGTTCTCTAAAAATGTGTGTGGGGGGGGGGAAATGCTGTTTTCACCTCTGGTATCTAACTGTCATGTGGGTTTTATTCTTAAGAATTCTCTCTATGTGACTCTTTCTTCTCACGCTGTAAATATCTAATCTAACACGACCAGACACCCATTGTATAAAGGTTAAGCTACACAACAACACATTTTGTTGTAGTTAATGTTGTTGGACACAACATTTTGTGCACAACATGCAGTGGCCTCACACTAAATCAATACAATTTGCTTTAATGTATTTTTTTCCCCAAAAAATATTGATCCGTCTCTGCCTGTTAAGTCATTCAATTGTGAAGCATCTTCTCCAAAGAATGCACCTGGTTTCTGCTTATGTCAAAAGAAAATTGCACAACTCCAGACAAAACATGGCACTCAAACACAGACCTACTGCGGCATTTGACTAGAATCATATTCCACAGCAACGGTGGAGGGTGACATTATCAATCCCGCTAAAAAGCATTTAACCGGACTCAAAAAGCGGATGGTCCCTGTTTATTTAGCTCGAGGTGGCAAGAAAATGCCTGTCACATGGCCAGTAGGCCAGAATGTGCTCTTATTCAGCGTATAAATAGGTCTGTTCACAAGTAACTTTATTTAATGGGCCAGAGACACAGAACACACCAACCCAGAATGCTGAAGCACCAGCAAAAAGGATCAAAGTTTTTTTCCTCGTTGTCTTTAAGACTTCCAAAACATTAGGAGAGCGTTATTCAGCGTGGCACGAGCGTTCCTCATGATTAATGAAGGCAAACACGATCTGATGAGTCTCGATGCTTTGTAGAGCTAATAGATAACATGCGCCGCTCTGCCGTTGCTCTCAAAGCCACAAGTTCCACTGAGGCATGGTGAAGGTCTAACAAAAAGGAAAACTGTTTTTTTATGTTAAAACAATGGGGAAACTATTGTTTGACTTCGAGGCCCATTTTAACGCCCACAACAGAGGGAGAGCTCGCTTCAATTCTTCGACTAGTTAAAAAGGCTGCAGTGGAAAATCCAATTAAGTGTGCATGCAAACCTTGAGAGGAGGCTACAGAAGTTCTTTGCCCAACTCACATCAAACACAATGTGGAAAACTAGGTTCATTTCTGAAAGTCAGCGGGGCAATTGTAGTTGTTTACTTTACGTGTTATTAATATAATACCAGGGCAACGTTTTCCACGCAGCCTGGTACAAGAAACACACGCACACCAAATTATATGATTACAAGATTGAGGACAACAACGGCGGCCAAATAATTAATTTGTCATTTGGAGTGATGCATCAAAAGAGGGCACACTGGAAACACTCTGGTTTTCCACTGTCTTGTTCAACACCGACTGCTTTTTGCCCTTTCATTTCGCCAGTCTCCATGTAATTTGGCTGGATGGCCTCTAAATAATACCCTTTGATGGTGCAGATGTACTAACTCCGCTCGAGTGTGAAGCAAATTCAGTATAAAACACTCTTGATTTAGCCTCTAAATGTCTAAGATCTCACATGAGTTAAGCAGCAGGCACAATAAAACCCGGACACACTTTTTGCATCAGAAATGTTGCTGATTATTCACTGGGACGGCAAACGATGCATGAAGTGCCCATACAGACCCAAATATGGCCATTCGAATTTCACAAACAATTTTTATCAACTTAAAAAACTAAGCAGAACACAGCGTGAAAGCTTGAACTGAAATATGTAAGAAAAAACATATTGGAATGCCATGCATGTCAAAACTAGATGTGTGATTTGTGATGTAAGATAACAGCTGCAACAACACCCAGTTTGTTCATTTCAGTCCATCCCTCACACAGCGATTTTACACTCAGCAATTACACAATATCAGTGCAAAGAAAAAGATCTCTGACAGCAGCACGATTTACAAACCGATAATAAATTCACAACTGAACAATAAAAACATAAAAAGTTGACAGTGAACATCATCATTTTAAAGGATTGTGTATTCACTCATGCCAAATTTGAATATGCCTCAAAAACAGATGGAAATGTACTAAGGCAAAAGCTGGTGGCACTAATAAGAAGAGCGTGCTGCAA